ATTATTAAATGCTATAAATATTTGTGTGTATATCTGTAATTATTAAGCAGTTAGTTTGTTTTAGTATTTTGTAAGTGTCCATTTTTGTAATGTGACATGTTCTATAGCCATAACTTGTACTATGAAGGATGTATGGAATGTAAATAAATTCCAATTCTAATGTATGTTGTGAGAATGATTGCTATGAACAATGTAATAAAAATAAAGGCTAAGGAGAGAGGGAGGTGTTGGGTTGAACGGAAAGTTTTTCCATTTTCTAACCCAACAAAACCAGAAATTTAGAAGTTTGCCGTCAACAATTGGACCAAGTAAGTGAATGCATTAAAGAAAAACGTCCACATTTCGTCAACAGAAAAGGAGTTGCCTTTCACCTGGACAATGCCCGTCCCCATGTTAGATCAGTGACACAGCAAAAAATAAAGGAACTTAATTGAGAAATTTTGGCCCACACGCCATATTCACCAGACTTTACACCATCTGATCATCATGTATTCAGATCATTGTAAAACCATTTAAATAACAAGAAATTTGAAAGATTTGACGAGGTCAACGATGGTATCTTATAGCATACTTTGAACCAAAACCAAGACGTTTTTACAAGCAATGGAAATTATATAATTGATTGAATATTATAAATATATTTTGAAAAAAAAAAATGATTGTGACTTTTCATTTGAAAGTTCAAAAACTTTTTGTTCAAACCCAATAGAAGAGAAAATGTCAGGAAAACAAGATGGAATATACCATACAGGATATATGGAGTGTGTTCAATGTCTGCAGAGAAATAGAAGATGTGACATATTGCAGAGAAATAGAACATGATTTCCTGCACCTGCCCTCTTTTTCCCCTTCCCATTGTTATATAACATGACTGAAAAGTAATTTTTTACAGCACAGTATGGATGAACTGATGTTGGAGCCTGATCCTGAGAAACGTTCCTTACATAACAACACTGGAGAGGAAGATGCTTCCGAATTGTTCACTTTCTCTGAAGTGAAGGTAAATTTGTTGCGTGTGAAAGGTAGGTTAATGTGGCAGGCTAGGGTATGAAGTGGGAAACATTCAGAATTTCAGTAAAAAAAGTTATCAAGGAGAGAGAATTAAGCATAGATGAGCAGATAATATATATGATTGGAAAGTTATACTCTTTGAAGTACACTGACATTCCAAAGGTGTTTTTCATGCAACATTATATGTAGGTCATTGTTACACCAATGCGTGTTGTGCCGTAGGTCTTCCTTGAATTCTTCTGGTCTGAGGGCCTTGTGTGCATTCTTAGACCTTTCTTGCACTAATGGGATTTGAGGTCATTCATTTCAACAGTGACCTTTTCCCATCGCTGTGCAACTGTTCCCAGTCATGCAGATTGTCTACTCCCGTATGAACAAATGTGAGACAGACATGGATGGGCCCACAAGGTGTTCTTCATTCATGGTAGATCATGAATTATGCCCAAAAGTGGTTATTAAAACGTAGATTGTGAGGATTGAACTGGATTAAACAATCTCGAACAGAATAGTGGTGAACTTTTGATTTTTTACATTGATAAAGGTCTCACTCATATCAACAGGGTTGTGGGTTATTGCATCATGTTGTATTAAGGCTCTATGCCAAAGTTTTGTAGCAACCTGCTGCCCCCACCTTTAGAGTTGAAATGGGGAGTGTTAAGAAATGGGCAGTTTATATAGGGTTAGGAGGAAAATTCGGCCAGGCACAGCTATGGGATGAGGGCAGGAGATTGGACTTGGAAAGAGCCCTTATTACGATAGTAGAGAGGATGACAAGACCAGAAGAGAGAAAATGAGAAAAATGACATTTTTAAGAAGCAGAAAGGAAGATGGGGTCTAGTGGAAGTCACACCACCATGAAAACCTCAAATCCTACAATAAATTGTTTAATCTAAGTTATGAACTTGATAGTAAATCAGACTGATGACAAAAAGCAATTAGCAGTAGAGCGCGACAGATGATTGTTTTTCCTTCCGTATTGTTAAATATGCACAATATAAAAATATTTGAAGTAATAAAAAATATCTGGGCGAGGTTTATCAATTTACTCTACCTGTGTTTTACACCAGTATCTACCAATCTTTCCTTTGTAGTGAAGCAGTGAAATATAAACCAGTATGGCATACAAAGTCATGTATTGTTGTAATATATTGTCAAAATGAAATAAGACAGAAATCTGCTGGTATCATACTTTTTAAATTACTATTAACCCTTATTATCACATCATATGTGTAGTCCAGTTGGCCGTGCATCTTATTAGCATATCATTAAACCCCAGATTTAAGGTCTGACCCACACAGAGTTTTAAATCCCTATTCATGTACAGTAAAGGTTAAAAGTATAGAAGTGAAATTTAATTGTCCAGATATTCCTAAGCTGGCTACAGACAAAAGCAGATGTTAGTAAACAATGTTTGCAGATGAAATTTATTGAAAATTATTTGCAAACAATGTTTGTGAACTATGTTGATGAAATATTGATGTCCAGATCAAAACTTCTTTTCAGAAATGTTTAATCTTTTGCATCTGTTATTTTTGTCCACAGTGCTGAGTTATGATGACTAAATTATTTGCAGCAGAGTTTTTATTGTGATGAGTAGTGTAGCAAGAGGAAAGAAATGTAAATGAAGATGGTGAATAAAGATCTTGCTTAAAAAACATACAGGACCACATTTCACAACAATGGGCTCATCAGATTTTGAATTGGGTTAAAAGTGCTCAGAGAGGATAACAGTTACAAAAAATTTTCTTCTTATCTTGATTTTTATAATCTATTGATATAACATTTCATAAACATTCTTGCATCTGGTATTGCTCTGTTAAATTTAACATTTGTTCTTTACTCGACATCTGTGCCTAAATGAAGATATCAGTAAATTGGCTCCATATTTAAAATATGTAATGAAGAAAACTGTGTTTCTTATCTAAAGATCGCAACTACATAAAACAGTTAACAATATATAATGCATTAATTGTAGTTATTAGTAATGTAACAGATTTGTTTTAAATGTTTCTTTTTGTTTTCTATCATATGTGGTAAGTAGATGCTGCTTGCAGAATGTTTTACAACTAGTGAACGTTCAAAGAAATATTTGATGCACATTAATTTGAGAAGCATTGTTTTCAAACACTGTTCATGAACACTGTTCACCTTGGTAAGTACCTCGCTTCAGACTCATAGCTGTGTACCAGTATGTCATGGCAGATTGACTAACAAGGTTTTATGATTTTCTTTTTGAGAAAGTTTATGAAGTTTTATTTGTGTTTCATGCAATGGAATGTTGCAAACTGGCAGAAGCTACTTGTTCTGTAGAACTTTAGTACCAAATTTGCTGAAATTCAGATGACCGTCACTTGGGTTGCAGTGCTGTGTAGTCTGATGATGGAGGCAGCAAGTACCTCTTAAACATTGATCAACTTGCACCAGACTCCACAGTTCTACAACTGAGAAGACAGCCATCTTTACACACGCTACCATGAGAGGCTCAGATCCTACTGATTGAATTTCATCATATGATTTTGGAGAAAAAATTTGTAGACAAACATGATTTCCCTCTTATGCATTTATGTTGTATCTTGTAACTTGTTTGCAGCAGACATTAGAAACTACATGTAAGAACATGATAAATGGAATTCATGTAAGCAGTATGTATAAATATAATTTAGAGTTTGTATGAAATTTGTTACTTTTACGAAGGAAATTATCTGCCCTGTAATGCTTTCTTCTGCTTTATTTAATGTGTAGTCATCTTATACAGGAGCGGGATTACAATTATAATGTGATGAATAAGAGTAGAAACATACACTGCTTACAGACTGGCTTAGCTGTAATCAAATTGGAGCCTGAGGGAGAGAGAGATCCAGAGCTTGATGGTACAATAGATCCAGAACCAGATGATGAGATAGACCCACTGGCATTAAATTCTGAGGGAGGTGAACGTATTGTTGAGCGAGAAGACCTGCTGTGTCCACTTGCTTTCCTGGCAGTGGAGAGCAAAGCTGTGGTAAGTAGTAGCACACTCTTTGTCTCATGTCTAATAGGCTTTTCTTAACTCTTTGCGGTCCTATGTCGGACTGAGTCCGCCACATATTTTACGAATTTTTTACGTGATCTGGAGTCAAATTGAGGCTGGCAAACAGCATCAGCATATGATTCAAGCCTTCCTCTTTGCACTAGTTTTCCTGGTAAGACTTTGTGTACCTTGTAATAGTGAAAGGAGGCAGGAAAGAAAAGTTGTTTTATTCTGACATGTGTCCAAGGAAGCCAGGACTCCACACCAAGTATTTTGCCATGTATCATATAGTGAAGGAATACCATCAGGTTTGTAGCTGTCATATTTACTTAGAATAGAATTATTTTATATCTGATAAACTTATAAAAACAAATATCCAATATTCATAGTAGGAAATTATATATTTTTAATTATTTTTGATACTTAGATGAATCCACCATTGACTTATGCATATTCATTCGTATTCTTATCAAGCATTCTTTATGTGTAGTGACTTCTTCATTTACACTTCGCGTTCTGTTTCACTTTTATGGTGTTGAACTTGGTCTTGATCTTTCGAACACAATCAGCGCGAAAGGAAGCATAGCTATGAGATTATAAAATCCAGTGCTTATACATTGTATATCTGTATGCAATAAGAGATCATTTAGACATAGCCAAAGTCATATTTACCGACTTTGACTTGCTTTATTATCTACCAGACGACAGCAAGCAGAAAGGCACCACTTATTACACATCTTACTAGCGACAGTGGTACTGTCTGTGAAAAATATTTCACAAGTCAGTATTCAAACATGAGGAACTGTGATCCTTTCAGAACCTATTTCCACCATATTTAGCAAAGTTTCTTCCATTTATTCAAGTTATAAAAGAAAATCAAATCAGTTCATAATAGTAGTTGAATCTGTACAGTTTAGTGGTATTTAAATAGACCAGCAGAGAGCTGTAGTGGTATTTAAAAGGGACCACAAAGGGTTAACAGGATATATATACAGATGTCAGGATATCATCATTATTTTCACATTTATTGTTGTTAGGATTGTTTTGTATTGTGACCATTGTTGTTGCTTTGTACTACTGGAAAAGGCCTCATGAAGTTCAACAGGGAAAGGAGGTGTATAAAACTGCTTTAGTGTGGTCTGAATCTTTGATCATGCTCTGTTTGTAAAACTGTTGCATATAAATACTGTTAAGTATATTTTGTGAAACGTCACACCAGTGAACTTTAAATCATGGGGGAGGAAGTGGTCATGGCCTATTTCAAGTGACTGTGTAAAACCTGCAAAAACCTCTGTATTGTCCATGCCACAATTGAGGTTCAAACTAGGCATCTCCTGAGTACTGGTCAGAATCATCATTACTTGAGTCAGATTGCATAGCTTTATGTTAGAGTGTTTAATTTCTTCTGATATACAGTGGAACCTCGATATAACGTGGGTTTCGGGGGACAGCATCAGTACCTGCATTGATGTTTATCTAATTTTGGAATCCCTGATATGTATATTTATCCAATGAAATACATGAAATTTAAGGTACATTTCAAACTTATATTTCACCAATGCTACTGGCACAGACTACTGTAAATTACTTAACATTTATGCCTCCTTATGAAAATAGTCACATAATGTAGTTTGTTGGAACTGATGGCTGCATTTTTCAAAAACACATTTTCCAAAATACATTGCTTAATATTAACCAGATGCAGCAAATGAAGATATTCACTACCAGTCTCTTGTTCTAACCATGTCATCACTTAATTAATATTTTCTAGCACTTTTCAGTTTTGGTAACAATACTTCATAGGAATCATCTCCATGGTTTTCTGAGTCATTGGCTCCAAGTTTGTCAGTTGTCTTCGAATTTTTCACAGAAACAATACAGTCTTATAATGTAACCAAAAGATTTCATAGAAATGTTTACGTCATAAAACATATGTAATCATATTGGGGGGACATGATCACAACTGCCGTATATCTGAGTCCGCAGTATAATGAGTTATATGCAGTACATGGAGGTTCCACTATATGTTTGTTAAAGCATACAACATTTGTTCATGGGAATTGAATGTTTCTTTGTGGTACTACATAAATAATTATTTTATTCTACTCAGGCCTCTGTCCTGAAGGCAACAGAAACACTGTGCTTAGACTCTCTGTTTACTGTGAAGAATTTCCAACATATATGCTGTATGTTTAGCTTGATACAAGACTGTCAGCACTGGAGTAATACAAATACACCTATGAGTGCACATAGGCTACTTTTCCTTCTTTGATTCTTAGTCTTTTATATAACTGAATAAGGAGTGTTTATTCTACATTTGTTAGAGGCGTCAGCTTGTGGGGGGAGGCTGATTTTGTGACAACAAAGGTTACATTATTTTGAAGCAGTGGTACAATATGTTAAAATATTGATGGCACTCCAAGTCTTATCTGTTTTATGATATTCTAAATAATAATCAAAACGTGTGGGAATCAAACAGAAAAAGAATATAAACTAAGCTGCTGGACTGGTTATTTTGGAACACAATTATACAGTACTTGAAATTGGATTCATCATCTGAAAGTTTGTGATGATAGTGTATTAAAATAATAAACTTCTTAGACAAATCTGTTGTCTCTATACAATGGAAACACATTTTTTGCAGGCTGGAGTTTGACTCCATCCTCAGGTAAAACCTATTCTGTTTGGTCCAGTTTATAGGGCTAGTCCCAATCTCCCCAGGGCATGACTCTGACCACTCACCCCTATCTATTGCCGAGGTTAAGAATGAGTAGGAGCCATACTGCCTCTCTCCCCAAGTGCCTATATGGGACAGCTTTACTTTACTTAGTCCCTATCTCCTGCTAGCACTTCTAGAAGTTATTGTTCGTACTTCTCTTCAGGATGGTATGTGGGACAGTACGGCAGTCAGTATGAAAGTGGAAGTGGATGGTGAGACTCGTGATGAAGAATATGAAGTTCATCTAGAGGAGCTGAATGGTGTTCGGTGAGTGCTGTACTTTATAAGGTCTTTTTGTTATTGTTACAAAATTTCAGTTATTTATTCTTTTACTTGTTTGTATTGATTTTCCTGTCTTCATATGAGATCAGCAATGTGAACTGTGGCTCCCTTTGTTTTCAGAACGTGCACCATGAAATGTTTTTTGGAAGGTATTAGATATAAGAGTTCTGCTTTGTATTCAGGAGGTCTCTGGTTTGAATTCCTTTGTTCTTTTCAGTGCTGACAGATTGGCATGTGCCAGTTGTTTGTTTGCATTTGGTTTGGTTTTGATGTCAGGTTGAGGATGGGCAACTTGCTTTCATTTCTGTTCTTTCTTTTCTTAAAACAAATATGGTAACTTTCCGTAACATTAGGCGATGTTGAGTAAATGGTAGCAACCATGGCTGTCTAATCCACAAGGCCTGCTCTTGTATATGTTTTCCTAACTCGGTAGGATTTGGGGTTATGGTGGTGAGTACAAAGATGGCTGTCTTCTGGGTTGTAGCGCCATGTAGTCTGGTAGAAGTTTACTGACGTTTGAGAGGTCTATGTTGCCTCCATCATCAGACTGTCATCACCCTGATGGAAGCAGCAAGGGTCTCTGAAACATTGGTAATTTTCTACCAGACTGCATGGCGCTACAACTCAGAAGACAGCCATCTTTGTGTTACTCAAATAATAAGTACTACATGACACTTCACACTCTAATAATACATGCATGGTGCCATATTTTTGTCCTTTTTTTAAGTATATTCTTTGAGTCAGAGTGAATTATAATTGAAATGTATGATCTGATTATATAATGCAGAATAAAAAACAAAATACTAAATAGTCTCGAAGTACATAAGGAAAACATGCATTTGTTGATGCAAAGTTTGTTGCATGATATGCCTCATTTTTAAATGTATGTGTGTCACCACACATACATGTTTACATTCTAATTTGCATCAAACCAAAGTTTTAATGTGAGCATGTTTGGTCTTTATTCTGTTACATCAGGTTTACAACTGAAATGCGTCTCTGCCTTGTGGTTGTCTTGTATTGAGTTTGTGTTACTTGGCATATTACTTGTTTCCTCTTGGAGCTGTGCATGGAGTATTTGAGTGAGTTTCTGCACATGCACATGTATCCATTGAAACCCAGCTGAAAATTTGTTAGAGCTCCCCCATTACTATTGGTAAAGAAACAGGCTTTTTATTTTCAGCTACATTGTCATAATTTTCTTCACAATTTAAAGCAATGTCTGAGAGTGCTTTATTTTATCATCATATGTGGCACGCATTCATTGTTTCATTTGGCTATCATTTGCCTTCATCACATAATATTCCTTGATAAAGAAGGGGTATAAACTTTAAAATATTGATATTTAAATTTTTTAACATGTTGCTTGATCTGTCTTGTATCTATATTTACATTTTGCAAGAGCTATATGAACAAATACTGAACCCTGCACAACTGAATTTAACTATAGGTCTGAATGTTTTTCAGCTTTTTACAATACACTTCAGTATTTTTCTAAATGCATTTGTGATGTATAGAATATAAACAAATATCTTGAGCCATGTAATTTGAGAATTTAACTGTGTAATCCCTCCATGGGAAAGGATCAACATGTAGACATAACTATCAAAGCAGTATAAGATATGCCCTGAAGAGGAGGATCTCTTTTATTTGTACAAAAAAGTCCCCACCATTTTATAAAGAAATTATTCAGTTTCCAAACTCTCACATCTTGAAGCAAAGAATTTTTTCTGGATTTGTTTGCTCTATGATAAAGAACATAAAGCTGTCATGAGTGACTTATTCAGTAGTTTTCCACATTCGCTCTGAGACAATGTAATGAACCATTTTTATAAAAAATGGTTATCAAAGTCTTGACTGGAATGTAGTGGTAGTGATATGTTTGTGATTTGTTTTATTTTGCAAGAATTTGCTTCTCAAAAGTTCTATGTACATGTTGGCATAAATATTTGAATTGCACATTGCCAGTTCATAGCTGTAATCACTTCTTGATGTCATTTGTTGGGTGGAACTAGTATGATGTAGTAAATATCTGTTAAACATGGTGACTGTAACATATTGTATTGTAGCTGACACAAATTTACAAGCTTGTCATCTGGCAAATGACAGTAGGAAAGGGGAATTAAGCAGGGGTCATATAATGGTTGGTTATTATGAGGCCTTCAGACATCAATTCATAATGCTAACTGTCTGATAGTGCGAATGAAGTGATATTTTCTGACAAGACAGTATTCACCTCATCTGAAACTATATTCACACAAATTGTTGTAAGGTCATCCATTTTATATTTTTTGGAAGATACCAGCTGTATTGAAAATGTGTAAATTAGGGATTAACACTATTGTGATGTTCATAATGTCAAATTTATTGACATTGTAGGGCAATGAAATTAAAAATAACAGTTACTACTATTACAGTGCATGTGATAGTAGTTCTTACATTTTATAAACATTTATATTAACATCTTTTGTGCATTATATACAAAATGTATAAAAAGGTTGCATGATGTAGAAGCTAAGTGTGTGTATTTCATCCCTGAAACGACTCATAAATTTTAAAGTAAGTTTGGCATTTGGAGGTTTTTACTGAAGGTTATGAAGCATATTTAATCTCATTTCAGTATCTGTCAAATATAAACCCTACTTTACATGATGCTCAAATCCAACATTATTTTCTGAAAAATAACTTATATTAAAAATTTATATATAACATAAAATGTATATCTCATCAAAAGATCTGTAGCTTCGAAACTTTCTGGGTGGATAGTATTAAATCATATTTAAGTCAATTTCTGGTATTGTGAGTAGCTTTGCATCAGTGCATGTGTCTGTGCAAGTTGATATTCATTTGTTTTTCTTCTCTTGTTAAATATATTATTGTTTGCAAAAACGGTTTGTTTTTCATATTTTTAGATATGTGAAAAAGATAATGCCATTTGATACATTTTTATATTCATTCAGAATTTAAAATATCCCAGTGTTAAGAACATTATCATGCTAGGTGAGATTAGAGCAATACAAAGTCTCAGCCGTTAGATGGCTCTGTCAACAATAATGGTGATAGGGCTGTCTAATTCTGCTGGTAGATGACTTTGCCAGTAATATTGTTGTCATGAAAGGAAAAATGAAACTGATGCCACTGCTTCTTTTAAAAACTTTTAACTATGAAAACAGATGACTCTAAACAAGCTAGAAAAAGTATCTGTTACTATAACAGTGCTTTCACATTTGCTTCATTTAACATCTTCTTCTTCTATGATGCAACAGCCAAAAATCGAGCCTTGGCCTCCTCCCATGTGGGAGGTTTCTTTGTCTTTGAAGTGTGCATTTATGAGTAGTGAGTGACAAGCCCACTGCATCTTCACAGTTTCTACTCAATCCTGATTTGTCCGCTAGAGCCATCTAATAGTGAATCAGGAGATATTTGGGTGAGAAATGGTCACTGAATTTTGCTTACGAAACATCTCGTTCGTGCTCGTAAGGTTCTTTTACATGCCGTAAATCTACAACATGGGACCACCGGCTTTTCTTCCCCTCTGAAGGAAGTTATGCTACAGATTTTGATCACCCTTAAAAATCCATTGACCTTGACCTGGTTTGAACCCTCGAACCTTGGGTCCAGTGGTGAGCACGCTAACCACTAGTTCATTTAATATGGGGCAAGATAATTTTAAATGGGTAATATTTACTGTTCTGTATTCAGTATCTCAGATAGGGCTTCTACAAGTATTTATTTTTTATTTTTCTCAATTTTCATTCATAATTCCCAAAAATGAGGGAAATGAAAAACTGGTAAAGGGAGGGTGGAAAGTAAATGGAAGGAAATGATTGGAGGGAGGCCTGGTAAACATGGGAAGGTAGGGAAAAAAAGGAAGGAAAGGAAAGGATAAAAGCTCCCTGTCAGGGTTGGCAAGTGAAGTGAGCATGTGCAAAACCCATAGTTGCATCATATGAATGATGAAACTTAGGTAAATAAAGAATGGCGTTGAAGTATGGGATTTCAGAATACTGTGTTTCATAAGGATATCCTTTACAAAGTTTATATGAATGAGTTTTTATGTTAATGATATGAAAGAGAAATTTTATAGTATAATGTTACAAGATTTTTATTGCTGTCAGTAGATGTCAGAGCCAGTGAGATGTGTAAAACCACAGAAAATGCATTAAGAAAATATGTTTACAGGAAAGTTTAGCATGCCAATCCATTTTTATTATTTTAAAGCAGTAAAATATTTACATTTAAAATTGATTAGTCTCTTAATAAGAACCTGGGTGTAGGATTTCACTTCTTATAAACTGTAATTGAGTGAGGATGGCATTTGGGAAATTGCATGATTCTCTTCAGGGCCACTTGGATGCCAGGGTTGGTGAGAAGGTGATGGGAAATGATGTATATTGGTAGTACTGTAGCACTTCATAATCCTATGGTAGATTAGATCATGTCACATTTAATTGTTTACAAGTACAATTATGTGCAACAAATCCATATGAAAATATTGCTGTCTAGGTCTATTGACATTTATTTTTAACAATTCTTTTGTTACAAGTAAATCTGAATATTTTGTGAGTCATGTGATCTTATAAAAGATTATTTTTCATTTCACAAAGACCTGTTGTGAAGTTCTGTGCTAATCAGTCAGAAAGAAAGTTACTTCCTGGATAAAATTACTGGGAAAGTTATTCTAGTGGGAGTGTTTTTTATGATATCCTTGTATTTTTTCTGGAACCCTTAAAATAGCCTCACATTTCCCCAAACATCTTCCTTCATATCACTGTAGCATGATGGTATCTCCACAAGCTTTGCAGAAATAAAACTGCTGGATCAAACAGTATGCAGTTGTGAATATTGTTAAAAAATTAAAGTTTGTTTAATGTAAAAAGATGTGGCCATAGTTGACAGTATTGTTTGTTTGTTAGTAATGTGATACCAGGTTCTTGATTGTTGGACTATAAGTGTAGTTTCTGTGTTGTAGCATTATGGATCAG